TGCACCCCACCCTGGTTAATTCCAGAGTCTGGTCCCAAACCATGTACAGAGAGAGATGACGTTTTCTTTTCCAAATCGACCAAGCCCTCACATATGCATTGCACTATGATGCAGCACTTTAGAAACTGCTAGATAGATTAGATACCTAATCAATCCTCCAAATCTAAAGCCTCGAGTGAGGCAGCTGAGGCATGTTCATTGGTTCCTCTGCAACGCATCACCACTTCCATTGAGGCACTGATTCATTCATTCATCTTTTGCTGACATCAATCCTTGCCTCATAACAAAAAGCTAGGACTGGGTTGGAAACTGCTTTGGAATAAATCATAGTCATGAAGGATGGAGGGAACCTATGCAGTAGGTTCTAGAAACACAGAAAGGGCGGATTGCGGTGGTCCATTGGTTCTGATACCTCAAAACCAGTACTGTATCTCTCTCTCTCTCCCCAACACACAAAACTGACATCACCAGACAGCGTCCACGTCTCGGCAAACCAGGAAATGCGGCAAAGGAAATGGCCATTAAATGCTCGCAATTCACATTTAAATATAAAAGAGTGGTACCTTTCCCAAAAGCTTTCCTTTACAGTAAGACCTTCCAGTCTTTGCGTCAACCACAACCTGCGCAAGCTCCGTCTTGACATGCTCAGATTTACTCCGGTTCGGCTTGACGGCGGGTTGAGATGATTTGAACAAATCCGGATTCATCATTTTACAAGACATACGCTGAGCTGTTGTAAAACACACAGAATCCATTCGTTATAAAAGGTCCTCCTCCTCGGAAAAACTCCTTTGTGACAAGTTCCACAGTCCTTTGGAGTTTTTCAGCCTCGTGAATCAAACATGCTCCGGCAACGAGGTCCAGCTGTATATAAAGCTTCGGTGACGTCAGAATATAGGCGGGGTCACTGTGTAGGACGTCTGTAGAGAACGAATGCTATTTGCTTCTGGACACGTCAATCAAGGATTGGTGAGACTCATAGGAAAGTGCAGTGGGAAAAGTGAATGAAATCGTGAGAACATCTTTGACGCGTTTGGGACCCTTCAGATTACATGAATGAATTATTTTTACGTTTTATAACCTTTTTTTCCCCAAATGTTTGTTTTATACAAGGATTTTATAAATGCTAAACTAGCTGGAATATAGGTTTTCTTGCGACGAATTCATGACATCATTCATTTACTGCACGACACAATATAATAAAACAATACATATTTTTACCGCAAATCCAGATTCAGACCAAAAAACGCTTACTTTCGGAAATATGAAATGCAGACACATCAGACCATTTTGAAGCCGTCTGGGATGGAATATGGTGTGTCCAAGCGCCCCCTGGTGTATTTCGATGATTTTTTTTTTAAAGATGAGTTTACAAATATCTATATTGTTAGAAGTGTTAAAGAGATGCAATTAATGTAAAACTTTAAGTAATATACAGCTAAATAGGTAACATAATTATTGTGTATAAAAAACTAATTGTTTTATAGCATGGGACATATATCTCTCCTACTATAACCCTTCATCTCCAGCAAAAAACAGCATAACAGAATATGTCAGATGTTTATATTCACATTTTTCCCTGTTATAGCTGATTATCCACATATCTTCAATGAAAAACTGGAGCAATGAAATGAACAAAAACCGTGGACATTTTTTAATTCGTGTGGATTTTCAATTGGCAACATATACATTTGAATTAAATATTTGGACAACAGTTGCATTTAACAGGAACACTTATCTAAAAAAAAAAATCAACATAAAAATAACCAAAATCAACTGGAATGCCTTTACAGGGAAAAGCTAAAAGTCAAAATCGTCTGGTTTTGCTTTCTTTTCCTGGGACTCAACCCATGCCTTGTTGATTGTGCGTTTCATCTCGTCATCGCCATCCGTGTAGATCTTCTTCAGCATGCTCATCAAACCATCACTTGGATCAGCTTTCTCATCCATGCTAGGTTTGCTGAAACACAAATTCAACAGTCTTTGATAAGTATATCTGTGAATATGTGTACTTGTCAGAGACAATAAATCCCAAAAAACATTAAACAATTTTCATAGCAGAACACAGATAGTCCAAATAGCAAACTAATATTATTTGCATTAAAATAGTGATGCACGGAAAAAAATATAAACCATTAAACAATTTTATCTTCTGCAGAAACTTTAATAAGTTAAAAAGTGGTGGATCTTACTCTTTGTCCTTGGCTTGTTTTTCCACCTCTGTCAGGCAGTCCCATTTTTTTGTCGTCTTCTTCTTGCACATGACAAGAACCATGTCTGTTTTTATCTGCAAGTAAATCAATTTTTGTAAATATTAACTGTTCAATGGTATCTATTTTTAAAAATAGGCAAGTAATCAGAAAGACCTTTTTACTACTCTCTGCTGTAATAATTGGAAATAAAAGGTTGTTGACAGTCATTTGGTGGTTCTTTCCATTCAGATCTTTGACTAAAACATTAAAACCCCTGTGAAAACACGAAAATAAAGAGTTAGCTCTGATTTCAGACACTCTCTTTTTTGCTCTGTAGAATCAATCAGCAATGTGTGTGGAACATCTGAAACAAACTTTTGAGCTTATCAATCGATTACAAACATTTCAAAACAAAAAGGAAACAAAATTCAATATTAATTCCTGCAAATATGTCAAAAGAGTGCACGGACTTACAGTCATGAGAGCTTCGAATTTATCCAACAGTCGAGATGCAAATGATGTTAAAAATATGTGAGAAGAAAACAAATGACCCAATACCTCTCTGTGAAGCTCGTTTCAACATTTTCAGCTGGAATAGTGTGAACTCCATTTAGCGTGATGTAGATTTTTACAAATTTGTCAGACTGGTCCCAACCTAAAAGAAAGGCAGTTATTTAAGGATAAGCCCACAAGATTTTAAGTTTCCTACAAGAGGGTCACTTTAGAGGATCTTTCTGAGTGGAATTAGCATTTTCTCTCTGGTTTCTTCCCAGTCAAAAACATTGAGGATTCCAAATTACCATCAAGAATGAAAATGAGAGTGAAGTTTGAAAAGTTAGTAGTTTTGATATTTTGGGATTTAATGAACATTGCAATAGTTATTACACATCAGCTTTCAATTGATTTTATAGATCCCAAAGTGGTTCCATCAGAGTCATCTAGTGGTGAAAAGAAGGGATAACCCTTGGACGTCCAAGACCTGTGAGATGGCTTGTATTTTTCTAAATTCTGTAACAAAGCACAAAGGCACAAAAAGTGCTTGGATCAGTGTATAATGTTTAGGGGAGGTTTGTCTGGTTTCTTTAAACACTTTTTTTCTTTCTTTTAACTTTGTCTTTGCTATTTTGAGCGGATTTAATGTTTTTTTGTCTAAACACTTAAAAAACATAAATGTTTGAAATTTTTGCAGTACAAAAATTACTACTCTGAATTGTATTCTTTGTACAATTAAAGGTTTGTTGTGGAAAAAAAGCAGAGGCTGTACTATAAATTATCAAGCATTATAAGAGAACATCTATTAGAGCAAATTGTGTAGTATAAAAAAAAAAAACATCCCAAATGGTCAACCACCAAACCCCCCTGGACTTTTAATGGTTAAGCTAGAGAAGGACAGGAGCAAAACACACAACAAACAAAAAAAAAAACACACTAAAAAATAATTCTTAATGTGTTTAACTGTAACACTTGTTAGGTCAGATGACCATATAAAACTTAACTGACGCTGATTACAGTGTAATTAATTATTAAACTCAATCCATACGTGTTCAGTTGGCTCGCAATGAGTATTATTTTTATTAATAAAAAAATATCCTAACGATATTTAGAACAGCTAGCCTATCATTTTCTGATTTTATTCTACCCCCTTGTGTTCTTTACTAAATTCTCGTTTAAAGACGTGCCTTCACACAGATTATTACTTAGCCTGTTATCACAAAGCAAGGACTGACCATAATTATGTATTTTTACTGTGTATCCTTTAATTGATGTCTCAGTTTTCTCTTGAGACTGTGTTTTGTCTTGTTGCTGCTTCTGCAATCGCTTTTGAGCTAACGCCAGGTCCTTCTCGATCTTCTTCTGCTCTTGGGTTAAAGCGTCCCGAACACGCGTCCGCTCGCTCCTCTCCAACAGACCCGCGATCTCCTTCAGATCGCTCTCCAGGCCCGAGATCTAGAAACACAAGGGTCACATCTAGGGTCGAGCACGAACCATCATCATTTCAGCACTGGTTAGTTAAGATCAGCAGCGAGCTCACATTTAACACTGTTACCAAAATAAACCACTACGTTACTTTGAAAACATTTAGGTGTGTTCATATTTGATCGTTTAGATGTATTTGTTTAAAGAATAATGTATAAAGACGAAATGCATCGACTTAGTTCGCACAATGCATTGAATTAAATGATTAACGAAAGGTCTAAAATCAAACGTGGTGTTTCACATTACCATTTCATTGACGTCCATGGTAATAAAAACCTCAAGAATCTCTCTTCAAAGATAAAAATGAACTTCGCTTTCTGTCGTACGTTGAGTTTGCTTCTAGACATTCATATGGTTGTTTCTAGAACATTTGCTTCCGCATAAAGACAAAATAAAAGTCTTTCATTTGGCGGTTTTTACGATAAATATTTTTTTTATTCGATTCTTAAATTATTTTTTATATGTAGGTCATCCAAAACACTATTAAAATTTTGAACAAGAATACATAAACTAAAAAAAATACACATTTGGTCATATGAATACTCGAAGCACATTTTTTATTCATTATTTAATAACATTTAAAATTTTTTTTTTAAAAAAGCATTTAAGGTAACCTTTTAGAAAAAAAAGTAAGGTTAGTTTTATGGTCCAGGTTTAATATCAATCAGATTGATTTTTCCTCAAATATTTACTTTATGAACTCCTTTGAAATATATTGTTATATTTCTTTAAAATTCTGTTTACAGACACACACTATTTTTTAAAATAACTGCTAAGTAAAACAAAGACCACATTAAAATGCCAACAATCACATTAAAATGATGAAACAATCCTTCGATAGCTCATTTAGGAGAGTGGAGAACTGATGAAACAATGCTGTTATACTTAGATCGCTGGCTTGAATCCGACTCGAAGGAGGAACCCTTTGAAGTTGTATTGTTTAGAACAATAAAAGTATTTAAAATAAACTTTTAGAAAAACAAGGTTGGTTCCATGGTCCTGATTTAAAAAGATTGTTTTTCTCATTTTTTAAAATATGTTTTGAAATATTCTGTTTAAATACAGAATGTATTCTAGTGTAAAGAGTACTGAAATATCTTACTCAAGTACTACTGCCAAAAAGTGTGATCTAAATACGACAGACACTTCTTCTTTTTAAAAAAGGAGGCAAAATAAAATACACATACATTCTAAACATGGAGTTGTGCAAACTGACTTCATGCACAGTGCTCCATAGTGCAGTTGTTACTTTGTATTAGTCTTCAGAATATGGGAATTATAAACAACAAGGAACCCATGAATGTTGAGATTAAATGCACAAAAAAATAAAAATCTGCAGATAGACGTAAGTGGAATTGTACTTTATTATTGTAAATCCATTATTACATAACTTAAAACAGTTCCCCATTACTTTCAAAATCAATTTTAGTATGAAGACACAATATATAAAAGGTTTGATGAGTTGAATATTGCTCTATATCCAACATGAACATTTTCTTTATTGAAAGCATGACAGTCGCACGTTCATTGACAGTGTGTTAAACTCATCTTGGATAACTGTACTCTACAACACACAAGAAAGGGCCTCTGCTGATCACCACATTGATCTCTGTACTCCTGACATCTGACCGTGATCCGCTATATTACGGAAGACAATACGGCTGAGACGCCACCTGTGTTTCAACCCACGTGGGCGTGAGGTCAACACACACCTGTTACGAATGCGCACAGGACAACTGTCACGAGGTAGGGCGGCAATTTCTTGATCTGCTATTTCCTAAAACAAAAAAGAGGGATGTGATCTGTCAAGATTATGGATTTTGTAAAAATCTGTCATTCTAAAAGAGCAATAGCTTCAACATACCTGTAACTCTTTTGGCAGAATAGTATTCTGCCTAAGTGCATTGATGCGGAGTCTTAAATCTGCATATTCAAAGGCCATTTGTCGCCTTTTCACATCCCGCAACATCCTCCAGTTGACGTAGTACCCCCTGACCTGCTCCATCACTCCAACCGGGCTCCTGAAGACCTGAGGATTACCAGATATTTGACTTGCAGATTTTCATAAATTTTGACAATGGCAACCTCAGTGCAGATTATGAGTTCAATCTCTATTTTTTTCCCTTTTTGGGGTCACAGGGGTCTGCCGGTGCTCATCTCCAGGCGCACATTGGGGGAGAGGCAGGGGTACATCCTGGACAGGTGCCAGTCCATTGCAGGGCAACATTCACTCACACATTCACACCTAAGGGGGAATTTAGATCATTCAAATAACCTAACCGCATGTTTTTTTGGGGGAAACCGGAGTACCTGGAGGAAACCCACGGAAGCACGGGAAGAACATGCAAACTCCTTTCAGGAAGGTCACCGGTCGAGAACCTTCAACCTTCTAACCCACTGCACCACCGTGACGCCCCAATCTGTATTTAATAAAGATTATTTATTTAAATGCTTTAATGATTATATGCGTTTATTTTAAGGTTAAGAAATTTATGTTGACAGAAAAGCGTATCCTGGTGTGCGTACATAGTTTATAATGGTCTGTCAACAACCTACTTTGATTTTATCAAATATTTTACAATATAATATTTAATAAATCTGTATGTAATGCGGTCAAACGCATTAATGACCCACACATAATATTTGCAATTGAACAACAGCTTACTTGTCTTGTAAAGGGCAAGGACGACTGAAGCAAGCTCATGCCCATGTTTAAGTTCCTCCACGCCGCCATGTTGATCCAGCTTACTGACCTCGGTGGTGCTTCTCCGTATACAATAAGAATTTTGGTTGTCGTTACTGCCATCTAGTGGAAATCATGTGGTTTTGCACAAAAACGACACAAAACGTTTTAGAACATATACTGCATATTTCCACATAACCAACCACATTTCATACAATTTTGTTTTGTCGAATAATTCAGCTATTACCTTCACACAACTTATTTACAAAAGTTTTTCCAGATACTGTCGCAAACAGCATTTTATTTACCTTGTTGATCCTTTAATGGCGGTACTCCCCCACACGGGGGCGTACATTAGCCACCGACCAACATAATCGACGTTAAGGTGAGGGTTATGTATTGTTAAAAGATTTTTTTTTTAGATATTGTTACGATAATAAAGAAAAAGACATTTACTTTTCTTATTCCCCAAGACCAATGCATAGTTTAAATTAGATATGTCCAATTAGATATGTTGAATTGCCAATGTGTAACAAAAATGTGCTATATGCTCCACAAAAATAATATTTAAGCTGTAGGGCAGACAACAATCATTTGGAAACACTAGAAGTTAGAAATCTGGACACATTTAGACAGCAGATATGTTTTTATATCCCTCCCTCACAGCTCGTGGTCAGGTTTGGTAATTCTGTGTCTGGTTACCACTTTAAATCACTTGTGCTCATCAATAACACAATGTCATTACGAAAATACTGCACCCACAATAAAACACTGCAGCTGAGAAAAGAAAGAAAAGACAGAAATGGGAAAATAACAACAGAAAAAAGAAGAGAAGCTCCTTTTAAAGCTTCTCTGCATGACTTTGGCTTTGAGTTCAACCCCAAGGATTTCATAAAAGCTGTTATAAATGTCAATAATTTCACAAGCAATCTCTGTTTGTGTCATTAAAACAAATATTACGTGTATTATTGAACAGTTATATAACCATGGTACATTAAGTCATATGATAGAACAGCGTTCCATAGCTTTTTTTGCATTATGATCAAAAGTGGTGATATTTAGGACCATAAAAACAGTAAACCTAAACTAACCTCACAGTTATTCTATGTTATAATGCATTTAGTTAATGTAAATAAGATCTTAAATAACTTTCAAAGATGTTTTGACTGTATTAGATGATTTACCTATTAGATGTATATATTTATATTTGAGTATTGTTTGTAATTGCATCTTAGTTTTTAATAAAAACTAGCATTTTGAAGGTTCAATCCATCATTTTAGCTTTAAAAAAATCCTGTTTGAATTTCACAAGCTGCTTGTGTGGCCTGTTACTAAAGTAGCATGTGTAAACTCAGCACTTGACGCTTTGGACAGTTGCTGCCTCAGATATTTCTGATCGATATGGTGACTCTATAAAATTACTAAACGTATTGGCCTTTTTTTTTACATATCTCCAATGATTAAACATTAATTTTATAGTTATTTAATTTTTAAAGTGCCCAATATTGACAATTTTATACAAATGTACTATTTAAAGGAATGTACACTGTAAAAAATAAGTTAAGTTGAGTCAAGTTAAACTTTTAAGTTGTATTTTTCTAAAACTAAACAAAGGTTGAGAGGAATGGGGGAAATTAGTTGATTCAACTACAATGAAGGTCACTCAAGCTTTTCAAGGTGATTCTACAATTAATTTATTGCCTGGATTGAATTTTAACTTGAGAGGGGGACAGGATTGGTTTGAACCCAAGTAGCTTTTCTAAATGTCGTGGGACTCTCTCACACAGACTGTTCAAATGGTCCTCACTTTAGGAACAAAATGAAGAGATTATAAATCAAAATCTCAAAGAAAAATTATTTATTGACATTTTTGACAATAATTTTTGGACAGAAGGAAATTGTTGTATAAAATAACGGTTCATGAACTTGAAAATGAATTTATTACAGTTCCCTTAACCCTTGTTTAGTTTTCACAACCTCAAAGAAGGAACAGTACATTTGACTTCAAGCAGCAGTTTCAGTTAAACACACATTTTCCTTGTAGCTGTTTTCTTTAAAATGGTTTGACTTAAAAAGTAAACCTCAACTTTGATTTTTTTACAGTGTGCTCATCAAGATAAATTTCTTTGTGAAAGTTAAAAAAGGACAGATTCTTTGTTCTTTGTAAGTGTGTGTCAAGAGCACTATGTAAGTTTGTTACCAATACTAGTAGATAAGTTGCTCCACGTTTGGAAAAGCTGCCCGTAAATTCCACTCACAGTAAAAATTGATAGCTTTGTGGATAGATTGTAGAGCGACACTAAGTTGTGCTTTCACAACTGACTTGTTTTGTTCAATTCAATCGAATAGAGTTCACTTTTCCTTTTAGTTTGGCTCGTTTTGGCAGGTGAGAAAACAAGTAGCAAAAGAAGCCATGGGTCAAAATCAAGCAGCAACAACTGTACTCCGTTGTTTACTTCCGTGTGCACATTCATTCTAACCAATCGAAAAGCAGTTGAGGAAACATGTACGATGACCAATGTGACCAATAAATGGCTTGTATGATGTCACATGGCTATATTTTCAACGATCTGAGCGTGGTGTGAATGAAGACTAAACCGGTAGACGACTGGAACAATGCATCAGTTGTTACTCTTGGTCTGGACCAAATTAAACCAACTAGAAATGGGAAAACACCCTAAAATATAACAAATAAACAAAGTCAAATACTTTAAGTTTATTGTCTGTTTTCACATTCACACATTAGTTGGCCAGACTAATATGTGACCTCTCCAGGAGAATGTTACCATCTTCGGCACCTTTCTTTGAAATCTTCTCTGCTTTCAGTCTTCTTCTTTTAAAACCATTTCCTAGACATATCTTTTGTTTCTCATTTCGTCATGACCAAGTCACAAAAAGGAATCTTAGGTTTTGTTTCTTCAGACATTTGTGATCAAAGCTGCACCTTAGAAGGAACTGGCAACCCGGATGATGAAGCACTACTGACTTCCCGATTAAAGGATAGTTGATAGCTGGTGCATCGGGCCAAAACACAGATCTAAAATATCAAATGTGAATATTCCATTGTAAGGAAATCTTTTACTTTTAAAAATAATAATAATCATTTTTCATTTTATTTACAGCTGAAAGCACGAATCCCAAAAGAAGACTTAGAGAGTAAGAGTAATAGAGGAACTGGACCGGAGTGTGCATGTGAGGGTATGTATGGATAGAAGTTCTCTTGGGTATTTTGGT